GGTTTGTTTAGAAGCAGATGCATAAGCTTTTGAGTTCCTTGCAGCCACGTTAGAAAAGGAAGAGGTGTTTGCAAGCCAGAGGTCCCGGTTGCCTCTAATACAGCGTTTGGTCTACACCAGGCCAGAATCTGGTTCTTGTAGGGGAACAAAGATTCTCATTGTTTCCGCTCTTGGCTGCCACTGATGATTGTTCAAAGTGTCCTTTTCACTGTTCAGCTTAAGACTGGGAGGGGCAGAGAGTTCCCTTTAAAAATGGAAATGGTCTCAGCCTTTCATTCTTTGTCTCCGTTAAGGAGAGTGTCTCATGATCACTTTCGGATCTGAAAGCTATGTGGTGCTAGCCCTAGAACAATCTTCTCAACCTGCCCCCCTGTACATTTTTGAACTCCACTCTCCACAATCCCCAGTCATTGTGCTGTCTAGCAATTATGGATGCTGTGGTCTAGGACACTGGGGGGAAGAGTGCCCAAGGGGCTTGGTCTCTAACCAGTGCTTTTCCAGAAGGAGGTAAAGGTGTCGTGACACTTGGCCAGATAGGCACTCGGCTGAAGGCAGAGGTGCTCTGATTTGCCCTTGGTCATGGAGATGTTTGGTGCTTTGTACTTACTGTAGCATACTTCATGTTTTTAGGGCAAACCATCCACTATGTCACTCAGTTGCCCAGCTCCCACCAGAATATTCTTTTAAGTGGCCTAGCCCAGCCAAACATTCAGAATTTGTAATGATCGGTTGTACAAATCAGCACCATTCATTTGGAGAGAAACTACTTCACAACATGACCCAGGTGGTGACTGGGGCATCATAAGACAGCGAGAGCTGAAGCCTGGGCAGAGATGGGTTTGGGAAGTTAAATCTTAAACCTGTTGAACTTCTCTTGTTCTTCTGGTTTTCCTTTAATGCTTAAACAGAAGCTTTTTCTTTAACCAGAATTTTTTTCCAGCTGTCGGGGATTAAACCTGTCTCCTTTTTTTCTTTAAACCCCTCTCCTCTCTCTCTCTCTCTCTCTCTCTCTTTCTCTCTCTCTCTCTCTTTTCTTTCTCTCCCTACTTCCCTTTTAGGTATCGTAGTGAGAAGATGACCGTGAGTTACACAGAATACCTTGCTCACCGTCAGCACCATCACTTCCAGAACGGCATCGGGCACACCCTTCCACCATACAACCATTATTCCTGACACCGAGCCGTATGACCAGTCTCTGGACTTTTCTGCAAACCTCTTCCCAGGAGAACCCCCCCCTTCTTGGTCTAGCTATCTCTATTACTGTACCATTTTATGATGTTAGTTTCCGTTGCCATGATGACGCTTCTCCGTGGCAGGTTAAGTTCACCATGGCAACGGGTGGAAACGCTGCATCATTACAAAGAACCCCTTCACTCACTCTCTTTCTCTCTCTCCCCCCTCTCTTTTTTTAAAAAAATGAGTCACTGTGGGCTTGTTGGATTTTCTTGTTTTTTTGTTATGACCGCATAAAAAAACTTGAGGTTTTTTTAAAATAACATTTTAAAGTTCTACTTCATTATCACTGAATTGTATCAATCACATTTTTCTGTGAAACTGTGGATGGAAGGAAAGAACTTAATGTGTCGGGTTGGAAGATAAAAGAGCAAAGCACCGTAGCCTGCTCTTGAAGTCGTAAAATATTGGATCCAGATTGGAAGTAAGACTAAGCATAGGCTTGAATAGGATTAGCAATCAGTTCCTCAGCATGCCCACAAATAAAAATTGCTAGAGACTCCGTGAACCTCTGGTTCCTGTTCTGATTGGCCCAGACAAATGACAATGATAACCTGAATTAATTAATTATGATAAACCAATTGTGCTTTCGGTTTAGACGTAATCATAGGAAGAGTTTTATTACAGCCCCAAGTTGGGGTCCTGGTTTGAGTCCCTTCATCTAAATATTGCCCATTCAAATCACTGGAACTAAAAACTTACTGATAATGGTCTGTCTCTCCCCAACCTCCACCCCCAGTTCCCCAAGCAGGCTTCAGGTGGATGGTGTGATCTGCCAAGCTCTACCTTGCGTCAGCAAGTTGACGAACAGCACCAATAAAATTCACTCCAAGCATCTCTAACTTCTCAGATGTTGGTTGCTGTTACAACCAGGATGATTAGCTTGAAGAAACTGCTGTGTTAGGAAGTCAGCAGATTTAGGTATTAGTGCCTTAGGTGACACAAGTTTCAGGAAGAAGAGCAAAGTAGGAGAAGCATAAGAGAAGATACCTATTTCAAATTCTAAACTTTCCAGAGAAATGTAAAGTGTTCTTTTGAGAGAAGAATTCAAGTTTTGTCTCCTAGCCCTACAAGGCTTGCCCCTGAAAATTCAATAGCAAACTAGCAGTTCTTGATGGCGCAAGGTCAAAAAAGAAAAGAAAAGCCCATAATTAAAAAAAACAATCCTAAAGCTTATTACTTTTAAATTTAAAAATCCAGCAGCCATTACTTTTTTATGAAGCTGGAATGGCAGTGCAAGAAGTATTTTTGGATAGCAGACATAGGAAATCGTGCTGAGTAGCAGAGTCAGTATTGTTACCATCTCTGGGACTTTGTCCTGGGTGGAAGTCGCAGAGACAGCTCCTCCTAGCCAGCCTTGGATTCTGAGAACGGCTTTCACAGAGTTCTCGTTTCAGGTGCTTCCTGAACTCTTATGAACTTCAGTGACACTGAAATAGATCTCTGATCTTCAAGGGAGATCAGAGATCCTTCCCTGTATTAGAAGACCTTCATCTTGGATGAGGCAGATCGCATTTTGGCAGAAGTCCTATCCTCTTCCGTCCAATTAGGGATGTGATCTTCATATAGACTACCACAATAACAAACAACAAGCCATATTGCAGGCCTTGGGATACTGATCAAAGAATTGGCTATGGTCCTAGACGCAGAAATGGGGAGAAAGCTGTTTCGTCACAGTCATTCCTTCAATCCACAGTATTTAACGTCCAAATATTAACTTTCTGTTTTGATGCCTTAATTTTCAAGAAAGCAAAAATCCTGAAGAAAGAAAGAAAGAAAGAAAGAAAGAAAGAAAGAAAGAAAGAAAGAAAGAAAGAAAGAAAGAAAGAAAGAAAGAAAGAAAGAAAGAAAAAGAAAATGGGCAACAGATGAGGAAAGAACCCACCGGAGCTTCGGGTGAAGTTCTGTGATGTCTTTCCTATTTGGAGGGTGGAAAAGGGGGTTCACTTTTATGTGAAAAGTATTGTCAGTTGCTGTCTAATTGCAACTTCCCCTGTTTTGCCTTGAAAGGGAAACTTGAGCACAAGCTAAAAGAAAAAAAAAAAAAATAAATTCTGCTCTGCAGTCTTTATAAATCCCCCCCGGGGCCCCCCAAAACCCCCCCCCCCCCCCAGCAATCTTTCTCATTACAGTTCATGCTTCTGGGTGAGCTCAATGTTAAAAGTTTTTTTTAAAAAAAAAGATCTATTATATATATATATATATATATTAAAAATATATATGTGTATTTAAAGGTGCTAATCATCTTGAGCAGGTCACGTGACTGGTCATGCGGACTCTAAAATCATATCAGATTTTTTTTAGAAAAAAAAAATCCTCAATATATGCAGATGTTATACAAAATTTCTTACCAGTGTAATAATGATATACTGATTTAAATAAAATATCCTGCAGGGTTTGAAGGAAGAGGTCAGCAATACTTCCCACCGTGGCTTGGGGGAGGAAAAAAAAAAAAAAAGGATCATCCTGTTAGCATAATGCACAATATTTTTTTGTTCTTTTTTGGGGGGTCTCTCAGTAGCTCTTGCTTTGTGAATTTAATCAAAAAAGAACAGCTGTGGTTCAAAGGGTTGTACAAACTGGAAAGGTGTGCTTTAAAAAAAAAAACAAAAACCAAAAAACCCTCCAGACCCTTTTGAACCTGTTGTGAATATGCTTGTGGTGAGAGCTACTCCTGGAATCTTGCAAGGCTGGCGAGATGCATCAGCGATAAATAACCTTGTACATAGCGGAGATCCGGTCGCTTCAGTGACACGTGTTTTTCCTGGTTTGTCTCTTGGAGCAGGGAAGTGCCAGCGAGGCAGAGGTGGTTCCGTTTCTTACCGGAATCGGACACACCACAAATGCTCCGTACTCCGTAGGCATTCACCCAGACTCGAGACCCGAAGTACCTTTTGCAGTTCCTCCTCAGTCTGCAAAGCCGTGTCCGTTTCAAATCTGAGACAGACTCTCCTGTTTTTGGTCACTGAGCCATAGGTAAGCGTTGTCCAGGCAGTGGTGGTGTTTCTCTTGCCTTACTTCATTCCAAAAAACAAAAGGCGGTTTAGTTTTAGCTTTAAACGTTTTATTTCTTACACCCGCGTGGTTAAGGGCAGTTTGAGAACTAATGTCTGGCTGAAGCTAAAAGAGGACCTTGTGGGACCACTGTCCCATCCACGGGAGACTTGGGTGATGTGGTATCACACCAACCTCTGCTCTTGGGTTGGGCCCGGACTGTGGTGAAGGAGGAGGCCCGTTGTGCCGATACGCTGTCAGCTGGGAGCAGCCGCCCCCCACCACACCCCATTTCATCTTGATTATCTCAGCCTCTTGACGTGTCTTCAACTGTCTGGGTTCTTGAAACTGTCTGGAGTAGATGACATTCTTGTGTGTTGGACCGAACCAAAGACGCCTCCGGCCAAGCCTCAATGCTGCTTCTTAAAGCCTGCCTTCTAATCCTTCCAAGTCTCTGCAGGATGCAAATGGGTTAACTTTTTTATTTTTGTACAGTTTCTAACTGATTTTTGCTAGTGATGTTAATTAAGTTTGAGGAACTTCTGCAGCTCCTCCATTGAATAAACTGGTGACTTTTATGTTTAAATAAAATAATATAGAAACCCGAAATGTGCCTCTCAGATTCTAAGGGTTTCTGGTTACACTTATTAAGACCAGCAATGATTCTTTATATACAAAGATATGTTTTCTTGTTTTTTTATTACTGTTTCAGAAGGAAAGAAATACTTCCTTTTGCTCTGAAGCCAGTTGCCACACTGGTACGTAAATGCACTGAGAAAAAAAAAAAAACTTTTGTAACAACTTATGACTGTTTTTGTATATCAAAGCTGATTCTTTCCAAAAGATTTGGGATCTAGTTTCTAAGTTATTTTAGTGTTTTATATGTTACAAGAATTAATTGTTCACCAGCATAATAATTAGTTACCTTCAATGGAAAAAGTGACATAGATGGGCAAAAGATCTACCTGGCGTAGTTCAAAAGCCCCCCCCCTTTTTTTCCTTTGACTATTGATTACAATATTATCACAGATTACCACAAACCTCCTTCCATTAAAACTAGATTCTTCTTATTTCCATGTTTATTTGCTATTAGTGTGAAGAAACTGTTGATTAAAATGGGCATTTTATAAGTATGGCTTAAAGGTAAAAATGAGGAAAAAGCAAAAAAAAAAAAACTCTAGAAGGTCATTTGTGGGTCTGTGAGATATGGCTGTGGAAAGATATTGTAGTAGTTTTAACACTATTGTTATTACCTTTTAAATCATTTACCCAATAAAATAAGGAAAAATCACAGCTGCTTGTAGTTATGGTCTCCTTGCACTTGATGCTCCTTAAGTTTTTGACCTGGTTGAGTTCAACCAGAATGAATGGCAGGATCTAGAGAAGGCCCCCTTTTGTGAGCATAGAGTAGAAGCTGGAGAGGCTTGCAATAAACTTTAGGAAAGTTTACGGGGTTTAGTTTTGGAATACGCATGGATCCAAAAGTGAAACCAGAGGTTTGCATATACTGTGGCCTCGAGGGAAGTCTGCAGGAAGGAAAATCTGTTGCACGGCCCGTCCAGGCTCTCTCTGGTGGTGGATCGCAACTTGACTGCACCTGCTAGAGTCGAAGTTGTAACATCTGCAGCACCCAACTCAGATTGCTTTCCTGTTGCTTGTGAAGGGGATTTCCGGAATTCACATGTGCCTGTTTAAAACGATAATGCAAGCTTCCCCCACCCCGAAAAGCTCAGAATGGCTAGAGTGGGACTATAGGACATGTTCAGCCCAGAGCGATTGACTTCGGGGCCCTCTTTTTCTTCCTTGCCCATCAGATTGTCGCCTCCTCACCGCACAGAGAAGAAGCCATCCTTTTTCAGTGCACAGAGGCACACGGGCAAGCTGTGGGCATCTTGTCAGCTTGCTGTAGAAGGGGGAATTATGCTCCAGATATTTTCTACCCCTCTCAACAAAAGGACAGCTGGTCCTGAGGAATTTGAGTATTACCCAGTAGTATCCAGCCGGTGTAGGTACCCTTCTGTTACCATCCTGCTGGATTTTCTCACAAACTACTCAAGGTTCTACATGAATGATGTCATGATCATGATGGGATCATAGAGGAAAGTACAATCTCTAGTTCCTCCGTTACATCAAGGCCTTGGAATTGTGCAGCAGTTCAGAATAACTTACTTTTGACTATTCAACAATAAAGGCCAGCGGTTTACACTTAATTGCCACTCTGCAATTGAGAAGGGAAACAAGTCAGCCCTTTTCAGTTCATTGAAAGGAACAGTGTTCTAAATTCAGGTGAAAACGTTTCAGACTCATCCTCTATAAATCTTAGAATACTTCCTTTTGTCACTCAAGTGAAAATCGGCCAGACAGGTAATAGAAGGGTTACCAAGAGTCGCATTTGAATTCATCCTGCTCCAGAGTTGGGTCAGAATAGGTGGATAAACAGTGGCCAGAATGAAAGCAATTAGTTGCATATCCTGAAAGAGTTTTATCGTTGAATTTAAGAAATACGGTACACATTTTTCTGAAAAGTTGGGCTCTTTGGAAAACATGCTGAAGCAGACAAAGGAAGTTAGTAGCCATAATCCAAAGAGTCTAATCTATAAAACCACCTTATTCTTATCATCTTCCAAGATAAAATTACACCAAGCGATTGAATACTGAGTTACAATCGTGTGTGTAAAATATTTATTTCTTTGAAATAAAACATAAGCAGTTGTTTCACAAACATTTTATTTTGAGATAGAAAAAGCATTTGAGACAAAGTCTACATAGCCATAAACCCAAATATACAATTTTGTTGGAAAATGCTACCTGTTTGGCTTTTACATTAAAAAAAGTACTACTTTCTTTAAAAAGAAAAATCTTAATAAAATTATCTTAGTGGGTGATTCTATTTTTAGTTCCCCAAGGTGGAAATACTGTACTTTGACGTTTGAGTGTCCCTTGATAGGTAGAATGAGCAAAAACTTTTAACATTTGAAGGCTATTCAACTAAGAAAATAAGGAAGGATTGTATGGCCATGAAGAACAAGATTATTTTTGGTTTTTTGCCAAGATGCTAACTGTCCTAAAACACTAGAAGAAAAGGAAGGACCATTTCAGATAGCTGCAGCAACATCAATAAACTTTCAATTTCCCAGATTTATAAGAGCCAAACATTTTAGATGTTTGTAACAGCCACACATTTAACTAAAATTCCAGCAATTAGAGAAACTTCCAGCCCTGAAGATCCACAAAAGTCCTTTGACAAGGTCCTGCTTTGAAAAATAAACCTAAAAAAACACAGCTGCATCAAAACCTGAGCCCTAACAGCGGTATATATCATCCCACTGCACCACCTCAGATGTAGAGGAAACCTGGACATCTCGTACATTATGGGTTGGTGCATTTTGGCTATGAGCGAAGGACCCAGGTGAGTTTTTTTTCCAAAACACAGAATCAACCTCCATGATGGGAAAGCATCAAACCGCTGACGCAGGCCACAAAAGGAACAGCTACACTGAGGTACTCTACGTTAAAGTGCGCACATGCTAACCTGTCTCTGGTTGTCCTCAAAAGGCAACATCTGACAAGAGTCCCAGGAAGTTCTTCAGTCGTAAATGAAAACAATAAACAACTTTAGCCTCAACTATCACACAAGATGTTAGAAACATGGAAAAGCAACTCAAGAGGAGTCCATATAGATACAAACAATTCGTGGAAGCCAATTTAGGAACTTTCAAGACTTTATGAAAGGAGGAGGTGATAAGGATGGAAATGCTAAGAACCAGGACCAAGGCATTCCAGGGGGTCTATCCTTGGGCTCCATGACAATCAGAGTTTTTTTTCAAGCCTCATTCCATAAAGCCTGTGAGCCAACCCTTGATTCAAAGAATTTGGCTCCGGTCAATGAAAGCTGCAAAGCGATGCATCAGTAAACAGGCAGAGAAACCACAAAGGCTTTCTATTTTGGAAGGGGGCAAGAGGGACACAAGCTGCAAATCCTTGCCTCTTCTGATTGTTAGCCAATTTACGCTATTCCCTCCCCGCAACCTGCCTGTAAACTGAGCATGTGTCCCTCTAGCTGCATTTTTTCCCCTGGATGGAAAATCCATCCACACTTTCAAGAAGGAAATACGACACCTCCATTGGCACGGAACGTAGTTAACCAGCTGTTAGTGACTTTCAAAGAACACTCCTAACTGATGCTCAACATCCTGAATTTATCTTAAAAGGTTCAGAATGAAAGGTGATCATGTCCTGCTGCTATCCTTCCCCCGCAAAAAGCCTGCCAGCTTAAAATTTAAAATAAAACAAGGAAAATCCCAGCTCTAGAACACTCACAAGGTAAGTGCAAACAATATTAGGTATCTTTTCTGCTAAAGGTACTATTTTTATTGAAGGAGACTAACAACTTCTGTACAGATCTGGGACCAGCAGCCCTTTATGCCTCCATGATCTGGTTGCTTCAGCCCAGAACCAGAATTCTAGTTCACAGAAGTTGCAACTTAGGGCAACCATCTTCACAGCTCTGCCAAATCACAGATTGAAAGAAAACGCTCCCTCAAAGAGGTTACAAGATGCTGGTCTTGTAACCTCTTTGAGGAATGCATGTAAAAGAAAACTTTTCAACAGGCATTAGAGAGAAGCGATTCAAAAAGAAAATTCCCAATTTGTTTTGCTAGCTAGCAATGCAGGTTTTCATCAAATAACTGGGTTGGAAAAGAGGGCGTGGGACGTTTTTTGAACGTCTCAGCTCTCTCGTGATCTGGAAAGAAAGCATGTGGCACCTGTTTTACGAGCAGCAAGTAGGTCTGAAAGAAAATGTGAAGTCTCCGTTCCTGTGATCAAGAGGCACCCCCACACTGGTTAAATGGTTCAGGAAAAACTAAGGCCGTTGTGTGGATGATTAATATGGCACAGAATCAAAAGATGGATCCAGCTGTCTTTATAAGATGACTGGGCAGGAATACCAAGATCACTTTCACTGACAGATCCAAAAGAATCTGTCTACCTACCCTTGGTAATTCTTGTTTTTTAAAAAGAAAAAAGAAACAACTCAATATTCACTATTGAAAACAGTTCTGTGTATGTCCTTGTAAGTTTTATAACCCTATTATGGAACGAATCCTGAACAAGTGTCTAACACACACACACACACACACAAGAATACACTGGCTATGCTATTCATCTAGAAGTTTCACTGCATGTATATCTCTGTTTAAATATGCCATTTTGAAGAGTAAACATCAAGGTTCATTAGAGCAAATACTAAGAGCACAACCTTGCTCCCCAGTGTAAGGTTTTGACATCAGAAAGTTGGCCCAGGAAACGTAGGGATGAAATCTCCCACTGGGCAGCAAAGAAGGGACTATCTCTTCTGATAGAAATGCGACAATATTCACAGTAGAACATTTACAAAATTTCTCACCAGCTACGAATACAAAAAAACCAAGATCTACAAAGCCCCAAGTAGAAGATGAAGTTCCTCCTCTGTTTATGCCAAACTGCAATGAGATTCAAGTTTTGGTCAACTGGAATGAAAATACTCATAACTGCCTTTTGCAGTTCTTGACGTTGAGTACCCACCCCATGACTTCCCACCTTCAAGTGGGAAGGGCAGATACGTTGACCCTTAAGGCGAAATTTCTCTGCTTGAGGTATCAAAGGCTGCCCAATGTGGGATTCATAAGGCAATACAACTGGAGACACGGAGGGGATGCAACAGAAGAGTAGCTGGACTACAATTCAGAACCATTGTCACAGCAGCCACTCGAAAAGCTAGAGATTCTGCTTCAAAGGACTACCTTCCTCCAATTTACTCCAAGCCTGAAAAGACAATTATTCCTCAACGTTCTTGAAGGATGCCTTTTGCAACATGGCTAATTCAGTCAAACCTGGCTAGTTTCACTTAATGTTCCTGAATATCTGCTGTGCTAATATATGTGGACATAACATTAAATACATGTATGTATGCAACAGATTTACGTAAGTATACTTAAATACAACGTAGAGCCCAACCCCAAATTGGCAGATTTTCTTGGGCAATGCCTTTCACTGAGACATGGTTTTGTCAAGTTCATCTCCTAAATCATTACATACAATCTAGCAATTAAGTAATTAAGCTGTTTTTTGCCAATTAATTTAGAAGAACAATCTGGGAGGTGCCAGCAGATATGATGGCATCTGAGCAGGCTACAGCTTAAACTTTCAAGAGCTTCAGAAGGCAGTATTGTAAATCGTTATTGTTCCCCATATATTTAACCAGTTCTAACAATGCAGAACCTTCTCATCTGCACTGATAGTGAGGAAGCACCAAATACTATTCATGCCCAAGGTCAACATGAAACAAGTAACCCATGTCAAGGCCATGGGCAAGGAAGTGCAGAAGAGGCTCTGTGCTGAAGGTAAAATGTAAGAGCTGCCGCTCAGTAGGAAAACTCACTGAAGTAATGAGAATATGGAACAGCGCTTTCCATCAGCTGTAGTCCATGATGTGATGAGCATCTGAAACTCCAGAAGTCCAAAGTGGCAGGATTAGAAGCTGCACTGAAAGTCCACATGTGGCTTTTTATGAATAAGCCCACACGTTTTGCAATCATTGCCAGCTACAGGCAATGAAGATTCAATAGAACAATAGTGGGAAGATAGACCTTATGTTGTAATAGAAGAAAGAAACCAAGAACAGTTTATAGTATTCTTCTCTGACCCCCAAAACAACCACTGGTTCTCCTCTGGGTCCTTCAACAAAGAAACAAAAACCAGGCTTCCTTCAAGGGTGGAGTCTCAGGATATTTTCTTATCCGGGGACTGAAGCACATCCACGCTGAGCTTAAAGATTGGGACAGCATTATAGAAAAGGAGAGTTATGAGTTTTCCATGAAACATGGTCATCAGTGACTGGTGCCCGGATGCCCAGATTCTATACCAGGGGCCATAGAAAGGATCCGAAATAGCCGGGCACAGCATGTTGTTCAAATTCACTTCAGTGACCTAGAAGAGCAGGAGGAAGATTTAAAAAAAAATAAAAAAAATGTTTTTACACTGACTTACAACAATTTGCCTACTTTTCTTAGTATCCCAAGAGCCTTAAATGTGTCTGCTCTTCCTTGCCTCCTCCAACACCCCAATGGCAGAGATCAAGATCAAACCCCAAACAGGCATAGTTTTGAAGTTCCTACACCCTGCAGTCTCCCCTGTTTAATCTACACAGCTAGACAATAAATCACTTAAAACAAGAGTTCTTCTCTCCTTTCCCCAAGTCACACCCTTCTGTTTCCCTTTATTTACCTGCTCCATTGGCATATTATTACTAAACACACCCATACACAGAGAGAGAGAGAGACAGAGAGATGCGATCAATATAAGTAAATAGACTCACCAGTCCCAAAATCTGTAAAAAACTGTAGTGGTAGACAAACATCAGTCCGTTGGAAAGTAAGGGCCACCAGAAATTCCAGGATGGCTCAGGAGTATAGACACCTGTTAGAAAAACAGACGTTTGCTTTGGGCTATTCCAATAGGCATTGTTCCTTCCTTAATAAGGTACCAACGTTCACGCTGAAAATCCAAAATTATTGCAATTGAAAACATGAGCTGGTAGAGATACCTATGCTGAAAACCAGACTGAGGGCCAAAATTATTAACAGTTAAAAAAAGATTCTGCAGTGTTCTGAACTTCAATGATATAGCAGGATATAAATTAAGCCTACATAAAAAGACCCTTTGATGTACTAGATTCTGTTTGCAATCTATATAATAAAATCAATGTAAATTCGTTGTTTAAATTTAGACTGCCTATTCTTTGGGGCATAGATTTTGTATTTTGAGGAGGCCCTATCAGTTATTCAGTCCCAAATTTCATCAAAACATACATAAGTCACATAGACATGCAAACAAAAATACACTTTTCCAAAAGGGTGCACCATTAATGCATATCAATCTGTTTTTTTTAAAACACACACACACACACAAACCCTGAAACTTGGCAAAATAAATTTGGCGGCTTAGCCAAAAAAAAAAAATGAAGAAAGAAATTTGACAGTTTAGTCAAAATAAGGAGCCAAAATAATAAAATTCAACCCATCTTTAACACCAGATTCTGCTGAGATGTAAGAGAACATCATTATTCTGCTGGGAACAGACTTCAACTACTTAAGTCAGTACTTTAGGTACTTCATCTCCTAAGATTGCTAGGGAGGTGCCTTCTTAATTCCCTTGCTAATGACTCTTTGATGGAAGGAGGAGGTAGCTGATTTCCAGATAAGGGGAGGAATATGAAGAGCTTCCAAGCTAGTAATATTTTGCAGGCCAGGATCCACTTACGGACCTCGGAGAAGCCCACAACATCATAACCGAAGCTATTACTCCGTGTCTGGTATCTTGGGAGGAGAGATGAAAGGGCGTTTGCATTTCTTTAGGTATTAGAAGTGTGCTCTCACAATCATGTCATTAGTAAGAAGCACTGTCTGGGTTTGCTCTCTCTACCCCCGCCCCCCACTTTCTCCCACTGAATCTCTTTTTCTCCTTTGTACTCTACCTTCAGATCACAACCCAGAGATCAAGAACCATGGGTTCTAGTTCCATTCTCTTCTCGCCTATGAAGGAGCACCGCAGGCCACACTCACACAACAGACTTAGCCTGAATAGGAAATGTGGTTGGTACAATACCTGAATTATATGCTAAACAAACTGGGTTTGTATAACATACCACAGCACAAAACTCATCCAGATTAGCCTGTTGTATGAACCTGTTCTTAATTTAGCAGGGTAACAACATAAGCAGAAGCCCCACAGTATAACCGACTGCACGCAAGTCCCAAACATTGCACGAGGCCTTCACATCCTCCCAAAAGTTGCCCTCGAAGCATGTCTGATGTGACAGGAGGGAGAAATTCTTGCAAACATGGGAAGTAATGAATAAGCCATACAGAATTAAATTTGAATTCATTCTAAGTGGAAAGGAAAACAAGTTTAATGTTTGCCGTGGATGTATGGTTTTTGGAATAGGTGCAAACACTCCAAGGCACTGGGAAGACCATGGGTGGCTCTTGGCTTGAAAAAGTTTGCACACTCCTGGTCCACATCCCACTTCAGCAGATCAGGACCACAGAGGTCAATGCTAGGCATGGAAGTTTGTTTATTTTTATTTATTTATATTTCAAATTTAGAGACCGCCCATCTCACAAGGAAGTTGATGGCATACACAGCCTCGTTCCCCCAGAGTGCTTGCACTCATAAATAATGCCACTTTAGTGCATCACATTAGAGAAAGTTAACTGGAAAGCTTGCTTAATCTTGGTAGACACGCTCCAGAGCCACCTGATTTGAAGTAGGTGGATTTCAAACAATTGTACAAGCAAGAGGAGCAGACGCAGGCAAATTCCTAGCTAACTAGCCCACATGTCAGCCAGCTGGAAAAGGAACCTGGATGCTTATTTTTCCAAATATTAAAGGCCCCATTCTGAGCTTTTGAACTTCAGCTCAGGAATGCTTTCTGCTCCCTCTTTGATGTCTCTCCAGTCAGAAAGTCTCTCTGCACACAGGGGTAAATCATTGAATGCAGATCAATAACTACTGATCTGGAAAATGGGTAAAAAGGAAAGGTGGGGGGAGAGAAAATTGGGAAGAACTGAAACTATATTCTTTCTCTGCTTCCTGGCCTGGCTCAACTTCTCTCAGAGATCCTTATGATGGTCCAGTGCCTTCAATGCGATGATCCTTACCCAAGGATCCAGTGACATTATTGCCTTGCTATAAGCAAAGCTGAGCCACTTTATGAAAAATAGGCCAATGTACACATTGCCCTTCTGAAATTCAAAAAGTAGCATTTCCACATTTTAACCTTCATATAATTTCCCAGCCCCCCAAAAGCTCTTTTTCAATCCCTCAAAGATGCCTCAACATCACACAGCAGCACCACATCCATTAGGAGCCCACTGTCTTTTGCACAAATGTGCACAGGTCTGAATTTTTGTATCATAGTTAAGTCAGTGGCTATTGTATCAATACAGATAGTCCTCAACTTACGACCATTCGTTTAATGACCATTCAAGGTTACGATGGTGCTGAAAAAAATGACCTGCAACCGGTCTTTGCGCTTACGACCATCACAGCATCCCTATGGTCAAGTAATCAAAATTTGGGCACTTGGCAACTGGCATGTATTTACAACAGTTGCAGCATCCTGGGGTCATGTGATCGCCATTTTCAACCTTCCCAGGGGACTTCTGACATGCGAAGTCAATGGGGAAGCTGGATTTGCTTAATGACTGTGGCAAAAAATGTCGTAAAATCAGTCACAACTCACTTAACAACCACATGGCTTAGCGATGGAAGTTCCAGTCCCAATTGTGTCCATAAGTCAAGGACTACCTGTAGTTACATCATTGTGTGATGGTTTCCATGATACAGTGTACCTCAAACTAGCTAAGAATTCTAGTCTGCATTAACCCAGCCATAAACTCCCTTTCCAGATTCATTTGTATTGCAAAAGCTGTCCTTCTCATTCTATCTCATAAAAACAAATTACACTTAATGTAAAAATGGAGAGCAGTGCTCAAACTGATTTAGGAATCACCCATGGAAACGTCTTGAAAGACAGAATCGATGGAATAACTAAGCCAAAACAATCTTCTAAGCCAAAACTAGAGAAACTTCATCACAGCTTAACAGAAATGTGAATTAAGTTACTTGTGTTTGGTAAATGATGGTTTGCGGTTTAGCCTGTTTGTGCACACCCAGCCAATGATTGACTGGCTGATCCAATCAAGCATATGCAAATGACTTCTTGAATAAATCACGTGCACAAGATTTGAATGATGTACAAATATTAAAGTTTCAAATGTGCTCCACATAGAAATAACAGCAAAACATCTAGGCCCCCACAGAAGAAGGAAATCAAACTAAAATCCTAGAGGGGGCAATTTCCATCCGAAATCAAAGTCCCACAGCATAACAAAAGCAGCGGCCTTAAATGTATGTGTGAGTCCTTGGCCTTTGAATGAAAGAGGCTGAGTTCAGAAGGGCTATCGTGGAGTCCTTGGCGTTCTCTGAGCCTGGTTTTTTTCTTGCAGACGTTTTGTTACCCAACTAGGTAACATCTTCAGTGCAGAAAGGCTATCATTTTGGTTAAAATTAAAACTTCTGATCAGTCTTCCATTTTCCATCTTCTGATAAAACTCTCCCCCCGAGCAGGACTCTGATTTCAACTCTATATTTCCAGAAATGGGGAGAAATCATTGTTTCTTTTTCTCAGCGAGATTTGAAGAGCATTTTGTAGCTGATCAAACCCAGTTTCTAAGTCCAGAGTCTCTCCTTCATGCCACGTGAGAATAAAATCTGTTACAGACTTTATTTTATTCACGTGTTTGCACTGGTTTATATGCCAATCCATTTCCAAAGACAATGAACTGACCCAAGTAGGATTCGAATTAACAGAATGTGACTTTGGCTTTTATTTTTCCCCCACTCCGCTTCCTTTTCCCTTGCGTTGATAAGTATTTGGCCTAACAAAGAGGTCCAGGAAACTCCAAATCTTGCAGCTATGTCAATAATTTTCCATTGTGCTAACCTTCATATGTATTTTGGATTTATTTCTGAAGCCAAATTCTGGTACTAACTGGCTGGCCCAAGCTCCAAATTTGGGTATCCCCTCAAACAATTGTCCTTAGGACGGGACACCATTTAGCTGTCCTTCTTGTTAAGCAGGCTTGGACTTGGTCAGTGCTTTGACGGGAGACCTCCAGGGATCCTGAGATGTCAGCTAGGCCAAGAAGCTGAGAAGGCATGCTGAAAGAATACAAGAAAACTACACAAGTTTGTCGCCAAAGTTTCCAGGAGTCAGGCTTGACTGAAGCTAGTCTTGACTTGATGAATATGACGCCAAGAGTTGGTGACAGTTTTGCACCGAGACACGCTTGCTCAAACCAACTTGAATTTTGCATCACTTACAAATTAGAAATATGAGGAGCCTGGGATGATGAAAGTTGTATTTCAACACATCTGGATGGTTTGAGGTTGGGGAAGGATGAAATATACAACAGCACAGTAGCTGCCCTTATCTAAAGAACCTCCTTCACTGTCTCCTGAAAGTTAAGCCTGAGTTTCAGACTAAAATTACTTTTAATGGATAGCATGTGTTCTGGGAAGTGTACTCCTAATACATCTGGATGATATCAAGTTAGGCAAAGTCAAATTAAACAATATTCTTCCTCTCTTTCTGATATAGAAATAGTTCTATCTTCTCTCAGAGGGTTCAACCATAAAGTCACACCTTCCTCTTTTTTTAAAAAAAATTATTAGACGTTTTAGAGAAAATATATAAATAGGGAAGAAAAAAGAAGAAAAGGATAAAAGAGTAGGATACAAATAAGTAAACAAAGGATTTATAAATATCAGAGATAGTTTTTCAAGTATACCATTAACTGACTGTGAATAACTGAATATATTGTATTGTTTTAAAAGCTTGAAAAAGCCTTAATTCAAATTTTCCCAGGTTACAATTCAATACATGGATTTGTACCACATGCAAATGTTGGCTTTCTGTTTGCATAAAGCATGTCTTTTAATTTGACAGGCTTTCAAAACTAGAAAACGTTTTAGTAGTATGGACAGAATTTATTGCATTGCACAAGTTCATTTTATGACTTACACAGTGCTAACCATCGTTCCTGATATTTAAGCTTTGCTTAGAGCTTAATAGCAAATTTCAAGCTTTTAAAATAAGAGAAAAAATCACCATTTTGAAGGAACATCCTACCACGTTAGGCACTCAACAGGTCTCAGAGGAATCCACAGAGATGGATGAGATTGTGAGTCAGAGTTCTTGGATCTTGCCACCAAGATCCTATTTATTTATTTATTTATTTAGGAAACTTATATGGTCGAGGACTTCTGGTGGAGGCATGGTGAGCTAAACACATCTCCGTCAGAGCGGAGATGACCACCGCAGCAAAGACCAAAGAACCGATGAGTAGACTTGTTTTTCGGAACTTCTCCGGATAAGGAGAAGGAGGGATATGGGATATGGAGAGCATGGGAAATGTGCTCCAGATGGCTGCTCCTCGTGAGGAGACTGCAGGACAGCAGTCTCCCATGGGTCTGAGCACTGGGAGCCAAAGGGACCATCCATCTTGCTCACAGCTGCAGCAGAGCCTTTCAAAGGACACTAAGTTTGCTACCTTTCTAATCACTTTCAGAAATTGCTTACTTCCTATTCTACAGCTATTAGAGATCTTCGGAATGAAAGCTCGAAAAGCCACCTGGTGAGTTTACCTTCCTTCTTGAGCAAAAGAAAAATTAACTATAAATTTAAGATTTTAAAGAATTGGAAATATAAATGGCAAAAAGCTAAATAAGATTTTGATCTAAGAAATTTATAAATGAATTAAGGGCCCAGACAATTCTGGAACATTGAGATGTTTATTATAAGGTTTTGAAATAATTAAACAAAATAAACAGCATTTCATGGGACCCAGAATGTTTTGTCTATCTTAAGTCAAAACAGACTTTATGATTTTAGAAAGTGGACACTAGAGGGAACTAAAGATTCCAGGCAGAAAAGGAAAAGGAAAAAAAAGTGTAAATGCCTTTGGTTTTCCGTTAATGTGGGGATTTACAAAATGACACAAAATGCTATAACATTAGAAATACTTCAGGAAAATTTTGAAGAATGGGGCCAGACATTAGTATCTACAATATCAGAAACGTCAGCAATGATATCTGCTTCTATGAATAGACTATGTCCAAAAGATGTTAAATCTGATGCAGAAAATACTAGAACCAGAAATACTGGATAATCAAAAAAAAGTGTGGATTACAAAATAGAGAAGGCAGTTAAAGTGGAATTACAAATGACAAGCCAAGAGAATGACCCTGATAAGGACTTTTTGCTGGATATACAAAAGAAGCTGATTAAAGCTTTGAAAATCAAAGTGCAAGTGACAAGCCAAGACAATGACCCAGATAATTACTTTTTACTGGATTTACAAAAGAGGTTTGCTTGCTAAAGCCTGGAAGAAGCTTCTGTGATGGGAGAAAGAAAAATTGAAGAGAGACCAAATCCTACGACAACATCTAAATGAATTAAAAGTCAAGATGGTTAGAAGTAAAAAGAAGGAATATAAAGTTGGTTTGTTTGATCAAGGTTAAAAAAAGCCATGTTTTTATAAAACCCTGGTGACCCTTTACAGACTTTTTGTTGACACCAGGACTGAAAAGTTTATGATTTATGGATTTGCCTATAGATAAGGGATGGGTTATGTGAAGAAGAGATATTTGTAACCTTATAGGCGGCTAAAGTTATCAAACTTGTTTTCTCGTGATGAAGATTGAAAGTAATTCCTTTACATGTTTTTCTTTAGCTTACTTTTTTTGCACTTTTTATTCTTTCTGTTTCTTTTTCTGAGTTTAGTTTGTATTCGCTTTTACTACTGTCATTAACATCTTTAATAAAAATTATGGAAAAAAAGAAAACGTATATGGCTGCCTATTTTTCACATAATAATCCTAGGTGGCTCACTACATGTTCCCCAGATAAGTTCATCAAGGCAATGGTAGTGGTGGCAACTAGGCTTTCATTCATTTTTCCCCCCTATTTCACAATATTTTTATCCCACCTTTTGACAAACATTAATGGAAGGTGGAGTTCAGGGTTTACAAGCTACCAGCAGAGGGTAGCAGAGAGTCACAGAAACTCAAAGGAGATGGGCTGATCTTGTTAAATAGGATCCAAATCTCTCGAATTTTGTGGGGAATGTGTCCTACTTCTACGTGCTTCCCATCAAGCATGTCTTGCCATCTCCCTTTATGTCTATGGACTCAACAGCTCCTGAACATTTCTGGAGGACAGACCCATGCTTCCTCTCCAGGCAACATGTGTTATCTATTAAAGTTCTCCAACCACCCCACCTAGAACCCATGGACAGGTATGGAGGATCTAGGGCTGTCCAGCCACTCCTTCAGCATCCAGCAGAAAACGCTTGTGTTCCTAGGACATACTAAGCATGCCATGTCCCTATCTTTCTCTACACTTGAACCAAGCTTTGGTGTTTCTCATGTTGTCCCAACATGGAACGTTCACCAACAGAGTACTTATCAGATAATATCCATCAACTCACCACAAGCTAGATGGTGTGGTGGACTGGTCACTGAGAAATTCCCCACCCCACCCCTCTTCCATAATTTCCAGTCTTATTGGTTATTATTCCCTACTGACTGGCAGACTCCAGGACCTTCACTGGAACATTGATTATATTTGCTTGCTTAGGGAAGCTCCTTTTTAAGTTATAAAAGGAGTTCTGTAGCAAAAGTAGCAGATCTGAAGGCTTATAGAAACCTTGAGCTATGCAACTGTTAGGGGCTGTTCAGAAATAAATATTAGGATATGAAAATCAGGTCAATGGCCCGTCTAGGCCAACATACCATTTTCCCAAGAGGAAAGTCCTCTGCTATAACACACTCTGGACATTTATTCCCAAATTAGATTGTGAAAGACCTCCAAGATATAATTCCAGACTTTATTAACCACTTTTTCCCTTAACTGTCTAGTGATGTTGGGGAAATCTGGATGGACAAGGTCCTTTATACCGTTACAAAATATTCTCTGGGCCTAAGAAAGGAAGACAAGCCCAAACTGGGCCAGACTACGAGTCTATCTGATTTAGCCTCCTATTCTCACAGTGGCCAACAAGCTGAAGAGGTAATTTATGCAAAGCCAGTGGGGCCCCTCCACAAACACAGAAACATCTACCATTTTTTGAGGTGGGTCATTTGTTGATGGGTTTCCCTTTGTTCTTCTAAACTGTGGAAAGCTTTGCTGAAGTTGATGGATTGCCCAATTGGAAATATAGCTGCCTTAGTAAGAATTGGGGAGCAAAAACAGCACTCAGGGGCTGAAGAATATAGAGACGGGGGCCCTCATGAGTCAGGAAGACAGGGCGTAGTTAAAGAGTGTCAGTAATTTACTGAGAGGGATCATGCCTTTTGGCCACACGCACACACACAGAAAGACACATACCTCCTTTCTGTAGCAGGTAGATGGGGACAACATATAGCATGACATGTTGAATGTAATAAACTTCCATTTCGAAAGGTAGCTGCAAAAAGAAAAAAAAAAGCAAGATTTATAAATGTAGAATATAGGTTACACTATTATTTCATCAGGGCAGCTGTAATCCTATTCCTCAAAGCTTTGTTTGGCTGGTAGATGACTCAAATGACTCAAACTACCCAGGATAGTAGGAAGGAAACTTTTGGAAGTGCTGAACCAAGTTGGAAAACATGTCATGGCACAGTCACAAAAACACAGAACTATTCATTTCTGTCAGGTTGGCTCTGCTGTCCTCAATGTTCTTGTCAGTTGCCCAGCTGACTCATGGAGAACATTTCCGCAAACAAGTCTATTGCGACATCGCCCAGACCAGAAATAACTTGTTATGGTATAAAAATGGTTAATCTTAGAGATGAACGACTTAGACAAGTACATTTCTTGTACACCAAGATCAGGAACTGCCAATATCGGTCATAAATCAGGTCATTAACATGTAAAGCAATAACCCCAGCTGAGATCAATCCAAAAGATGACGCCATCAACAGAATTAGATGCTGCTACAGGAGACAGACTTGGCTTATTAATGAAACTTAAACAAAAGAGTTATTACCTGGATCCAATATTGGCACCACAAATATTGTGACATGACCAAGCTTTAGCATATCCCAAATTCAGAATATTAGATTGGATTTAAGAAACAACTCAGCTATTTTTCTATGTCTCAATGGTATACATAGCTATCTCGGGTGTGTTGACCTGTTGGAGTAAGTTTTTAGTAGCGTGAAGCTTTGACATTTTAAAGTATCAAATGTATATGAGCACAATCTGGTAAAATATCCTGAGCCAACAGGCATTCTCAATCTTTCTGTTGTATTCGTTCCTTTTCCACAATGGACTTCTTGTCTTGACTATCTATTCAACTGGCTTCTAACCACATTAACCAGAGAATCTTATCATCCTTGGGAAGTGAAATAAGGCGCAATTCACACAGTGCACTAAGCCATGCTCAGTTAATTAAGTTTATTTCTACATCGCTATGCTCCACATAGACTCATGGCGGTATAGTATGCATATTTAACCATGGTTTATTGAATAAGACACAATTGCATGGGTTCTTCTAAGCCATCGCTCATGATTTATATAACAAGTTGGTTGGGATCATGGAAGACTTTAAGTTAAAATCAAGCCTTATTCCCCTGGCAGAAAATAGTTCAATGATCTATATATACCCAGTCAGACAGACAGCCTGAAGGCAGATTTGTGGCCTAGAGAGAGAGTTTACAAATAATAGAAATATGTTATAAATATTAATCCGTAATACGGCAAGTCAAATTCTGCAGGACTGGAAGATTATGCTTGATTTTTAACATTCCCACTTCTCGGCTCTTTAATCCTTCACTCCTACAGGCTGGCCTCTCAGTAAGGACTGATGGACGCTAGTACTACTGGTGCAGATTTCAAAAATGATTTGAAAAAAAGCTTCAGAGCCCACATAAACATGGCACATCTCTGCTATTCAATAAAGCATGCCGGTTGTTTGGGGGGTTAGGTTTCTCTCTGCTCCCCCCACCACATCTATCCGGGACAACGTGCTCTGGGTCCCTTCCATTACACAATGTCACCTTGCTGGACCAGGGGTCATGGCTTCTCTGTGGCAGCGCCTGCCTGGTGGAACGGCAGCCCTCCAGAGCTGGGATGGCCCCAGTCCTGTTGGCTTTCACAAGGCCTTGAAGATCTGGCTGTTCCCTACACATCTGGGGCATGAGATTGAGCAAGCTCTGCTTAATGGGATTTTATGGTTCTTTTCTGTAAATGGAAAGATGTCTGCGAGCTTGGACATTATTTGGACTGTTGATTTTTTGGTTGGCTTTAATCCTTGTACCCCACCCAGAGTTATTGCCAAGAGATGGGTGGCTAGAGGAATGGAATGGAATGGGATGGAATGAGTAAATAAATGATGCAAGCTTAAAAAAGAAGGAAAGCGTTAAAGATATCTATCTTGAGGTTCAGCATGGCATTAGTGGGGCCTGGCATGGGAACTGGAGTGAGGACTTGGGCTGAGATCTATCCTTAACTGTAGAAACTTGCTGGGTGACTTTAGACCAGTCCCCACCCACCTACCTCAGCCCAACGTACCGGCCAAGGTGGTTGCTATGGGGAAAAATAGGACAGAGCGACAGGTAGGCTGCCTGGAAAGCCTGTATGAAAGGCAAGCTATAAATCTTGCAAACAAGCGAGTGAGCAAGCAAATAAATTAAGGGCAGGTTGCTGGAGAAACCCAACACAGACTGCTGCTTTGCCTTCTTAGAGTCTAAATCAGTGTTTTTCAAACTTGGCCACTTTAAGATGTGTGGACTTCAACTCCCAGAATCCCCCAGCCAGCATTTTGGGAGTTGAAGTCCACACATCTCAAAGTCACCAAGTTGGAAAAACGCTGCTCTAAATCCTCTTGTCAAGACAAAGGTTGTGAAAAAGCCATAGAAATTGTCGTGAGAGCAGAGCGGGTTTCCTCCAATGCAGCATTGTGCAATTCTGAATCCTTGGCAGAAAGAAAGAAAGAATGCTTGCATTTTCATATGAATTTGGGGATTTTTCTTTTTTTTTTTTTAAATCCTCTTCCTCCCCAAACAATTCCTGTTTGTGCCAATCTGCAAGAACAGGAGTGGAAGTGACAGCTGCTGATCGTTGGCCCAAGCCCTTTATTTCACGAGGAAAGATGATGTCAACGTTTTCCTGTACAGAGCAGGGTGGGACAGTTCTGAGAAATTCTGAGTGCAAGATTATACTCCATCAGCTCAGCTCAGCTCAGCTCAGCCCAGCCCAGCCCAGCCCAGCCCAGCCCAGCCCA